AGGCCAGGCATTGTGGCTCACACCTATAATCCCAGCACTATGGGAGGCCGAAGTGGGTGGATGACTTGAGGTCAGGAGTTCAAGACCAGCCCCGCCAACATGGCGAAACCCTGTCTCTACCAAAATACAAAATTAGCCAAGTGTGGTGATGTACGCCTGTAATTCCAGCTACTCAGGAGGCTGAGGCAGGAGAATCACTTGAATCCAGCAGGCGGAGGTTGCAGTGAGCCAAGAGCTGAGATCGAGCCACTGTACTCCAGCCTGGGCAACAGAGTGAGACTGTGTCTCAAAAAAAAAAAAAAATCTCTCAGGGCATGGTAGCTTACACCTATAATCCCAGAACTTTGGAGGCCAAGGTGGGTGGATCACCTGAGGTCAGGACTTCGAGACCAGCCTGACCAATATGGTGAAACCCTGTCACTACTAAAAATTACAAAAAATTTGCCAGGCATGATGACACATGCCTGTAATCCCAGCTACTAGGGAGGCTGAGGCAGGAGAATCATTTGAACCTGGGAGGCGGAGGCTACAGTGAGCCAAGATTGTGCCACTGCACTCCAGCCTGCCTAGGCAACAGAGTAAGAATCTGTCTCAAAAAAAAAAAAAAAGTTAAAAAAAAGAGTATCATAAGGAGCACACAACCTAGATCCCTCCCATGCACAGTTCACAAGCGTTTGTACTCTTATGAACAAAATTAGCCTGGCTAATTTTTGTATTTTTAGTAGAGATGGGGTTTCAGCATGTTGGCCAGGCTGGTCTTGAACTTCTGCCCTCAGGTAATCCACACACCTCGGCCTCTCAAAGTGCTGGGATTACAGGCATGAGCCACCATGCCAGCCTTTTTTTCTTTTTTTTTTTAAGCGATGGGGTCTGGTCTTGCTCTGTTGCCCAGGCTGGAGTGCAGTGGGCAGCATTGTGAGTATGTCCTGACCTCCCAGGCGCAAACGATTTTCCTTCTCAGCCACCCTAAGTGCTAGGATTATAGTCTGAGCACCGTGCCCAGGTGGGAATTGTGAAACTTCACTTGGAACACCACAGCATTGGTTTGGTGAAGCCCCGTGGGCAGTGCCACCAAGCTGCAGCCTCAACTACTACTTAGGGTAGAGCTCAGGGCTCCTTGGGCATCAGAAGCCTATGATTTTGTACCAGCCAGACTGGAACAAGGCTGGGCCTGTCTCTATGTTTAGAAACGTCTTGTGTGTTGGGAGAGGAGGCCCCACATTCAGGAGCTGCCACCGATGGCATCAGATGCACATGGCATCAGAACACTGGCCATGCCTACAAGTGTGGGTTGTTTCTGGTTTTTTTTTTTGATTTTTGAGAGTCTCCTTCTGCCGCCCATGCAGTGGTGCAATCTCGGCTCACTGCAAACACTGCCTCCTGGTTTCAAGCAACTGTTGTGCCTCAGCCTCCAAGTAGCTGGGACGACAGGCATGTGCCACCATGCCCAGCAAATTAATTTTTTTTCTTTTGAGATGAAGTCTTGCTCTGTTGCCCAGCCTGGAGTGCAGTGTAGCAATCTTGGCTCACTGCAACCTCTACTTCCTACGTTCAAGTGATTCTCCTGCCTCAGCCTCCTGAGTAGCTCGGATTACAGGCGTGTCCCACCACGTCCAGCTCATTTTTGCACTTTTAGTAGAGACGGGGTTTCAACATGTTGGCCAGGCTGGTCTCGAACTCCCGACCTCATGATCTACCCACCTTGGCCTCCCAAAGTGCTGGGATTACAGGCGTGAGCCACCGCGCCCGGTCTACGGATGTGTTTTTGTAGTGGGTCAGAATAGCAGCTGTAGATACTGCTGGACTCGGGAGGACCAGGTGACTGCCTGGTCAAGCAGCAGTGCTGGGTCTGGAGGCCAGAGGGAGGATGATGGCCCCCTCCGCACCCCTCATCCCCCACCTCCTGGGGTCTAAAGTGTTCCCTCCCCAGAAGCCGGGTTGTTGCTCTCCCTTCAAGAACATGAAATCAGTCTGTATCCCAGCCCAGTTAAGTACAGCTCACCTCTTATTCATCATCTACTCATACCCAGACTTGTTTTTGGAAGTCAGATGTGAGTGAAACGTGGGCATTTTTACAGATTTAGAGACTTATGATTTCCCTCGTGTTGGCTGATGTGGGACACTATAGGGAGACTTGGCAAACAGGACACTCGACCAAGTGGCCACTGTCTTGGGGACCTAGGACCACAAGTCCAGGAGAGTCTCAAGGGCAGAACCCGAAATAACGCCAAGCCCCCAGGTCCCCTTCCTGTGGGCGTGCCCCCTCGAGGCTGTACCCATCAGGCAGGCATGGGCTTGATGTTGGGGGAAGAAAGAGGTACCATATCCAGGAATGCCCAGGGCAGAATCCCTAATTTTTATTTTTTACTTTTTTGAGACAGAGTCTCGCTCTGTCACCCAGTCTGGAGTGCAGTGGTACAATCTCAACTCACTGCAACCTCCACCTCCCAGGTTCCAGCAATTCTTCTGCCTCAGCCTCCCAAGTTGCTGGGACTACAGGCATGTGCCACCACACCTGGCTAGTTATTTTTTTTTTTTTTTGGTATTTTTAGTAGAGACGGGGTTTCACGATGTTGGCCAGGCTGGTCTCAAACTCCTCACCTCAAGTGATCAGCCCGCCTCAGCGTCCCAAAGTGCTCGGTTACAGGCGTGAACCACTGAGCCCAGCCAGTTTTTTATTTTATTTTTTTGAGACAGGGTCTTGCTCTGTTGCCCCGGCTGGAGTGCAGTGGTGCAATCACATCTCACTGCAGCCTCAATCTCCTGGGCTCAAGTAATCTTCCCACTTCAACCTCCTGAGTAGCTGGGTTTTGCTACATTGCCCCAGCTGGCCTTGAACTTCTGGACTCAAGTGATGATATACCTGCCTCAGTCTCCCACAGTGCTGGGTTTACAGGCATGAGCCGCTGTGCCCAGCCCCTAAGGTTTATGGGTCTGTATAACCCCCAAGCCCTTTGTCCTGATCTTAACCCAGCAGATGGCCTAGAGGATCTCTTTCTGGGGACAGCCACACTGTCTGCCTTCCTAAAGTGTGTGGATCAGGAGAAGGCAGAGTGAGAATCTCTGAGTTGCCTTATATTTTTGGTGAGCTGATTTTTTTTCAGGCTGGTCAAGTGAAGCAGTGGAAGTAGAGAAGGAACAAAGAAATCTTAACTGTTTGTGATCAATTAGTTGTCACACCACTGCACTGGGACCAGCAATGAGGTGTTTTTTTTTTTTAATTTTATTTTTAAGAAAGAGTCTCTGTCACCCAGGCTGGAGTGCAACCTCCACCTCCCAGTTCAAGTGATTCTCCTGCCTCAGCCTCCCAAGTAGCTGGGTTTACGAAGCCCATCACCACGCCCAGTTAATTTTTTCTATTTTTAGTAGCGAGGTTTCACCATGCTGGCCAGGCTGGTCTAGACCGATCTGCCTGCCTCAGCCTCTGAAAGTGCTAGGATTGCAGGCATGAGCCACTGTGCCTGGCCGATTCTCAAGTTTTTAAGAAGTCCAAAGACACGACTTTTTGTTTATATGAATGAGATAGGAGACAGCCCGTATTGGAGTTGGTGGAGAAAGGTTCCTGCCGGGGTTAGGAGCCGCACTCAGAGCGCTACGGTTAGAGAGGCTCTTACCAAGTCCCAGGCCCTCTTTCCCTGGACCACAGGCTTGCGCAGACACCTGGGGTCCGGCAAGTAGATTCCACTTGTTCACCAACCCCGAACCAACTGCAGTGACCACTGGAGAGCCAGCTGAGGCCCGTGGGGCTGGGCTGAGGGGACCTCAGGACCCCTTCGCAGCACCTGCTGTGGTGGAAGGAGTCGGGGCAGGAGCAGATGAGCTATTCGCCCAACTTGCTTCGGGAAGAGATTTTTAAGCCCTAAGGGATTTCTAGGAAGGGCCAAGGGGAGGACACCAAAGTCCTCTGGTTCGCAGCAATGGAAAACACTGACTAGCCTGTCGCACTGTACCTGGCCACTCCTGGAGTGCAGGCCCAACCTCCTGTGTCTCTGAAGCAGGCAGAAGTCCAGACGTTTGCCTGAACTCATGGGGCACCCAGATGCCTGTAACCCAGACCCATTTTGTTAGAATGGAGAAAGGGAGGAAAGGGGCCTCTAGAGTCTACTGCCGGGAAAGCAGCACCCACAGGTGGCAGCAAGATTGAGCCTGGAGGCCAAATTCAGCCAGGCAGTGCTCTGTCCCCGTTCCCACACAGGGGTGTGTGGGAGACTTGGCAGAAAAGCCAGTGCAGGCAATGCCAGGCCTGACCTAGAGCGCCTCCCACCACCCCTTCAAGATGCAGAGTGCAGAACCAGGAGAGAAGAGTGGCGGATGCCACCAGGACTCAGTGAAACCCCTCCAGCCCCAGGTCTTGTCTTCCCTGGATGGTGGTACACGCCCCTCCTGTGCCCTTGAGGGCAGTGCTTTAAGATGTGGGCTACAGTCTATACTGGAGCATCAAGATCAGTTCAGAGGGTTGTAGCCAGAAGTTTAAAAAAGTGAAACAGAGAAAAAAAATCAGAGTTCACAGGTGGTGAGGCTAAATGTGGTTTGGTAAAAGTTCATGGGCATTCAGTAATATTTTATTTATTTTATTTTTGAGATGGAGTTTCGCTCTTGTTACCCAGGCTGGAGTGCAATGGGGCGATCTTGGCTCACCGCAACCTCCGCCTCCTGGGTTCAGGCAGTTCTCCAGCCTCAGCCTCCTGAGTATCTGGGATTACAGGCACACGCCACCATGCCCAGCTAATTTTTTGTATTTTTAGTAGAGACGGGGTTTCACGTGGACCAGGACGGTTTCGATCTCTTGACCTCGTGATTCACCTGCCTCGGCCTCCCAAAGTGCTGGGATTACAGGCATGAGCCACTGCGCCCGGCAGGACATTTATTTCATTTTGTGGATTGCATTCAAAAAGTCCTTTCAGGGGCCATTTTCTAGACTGGGACGCCTCAGATAGCGCTCTGTGATCATTTTGGTAGGGCTGAAATTAGGAGTCCCATAAAGAAAGCACATGCTGAAATTTATTTTAAAGGGGAAGGCCCCTTTTTATTCAACTTGTACATTTTACTTTCAGAATGCTAATAAAAAACTTCTGTTTATACTTTTAAAAAACCCACAAATCAGACAAACAAAAGAAACGATTATAACATCACTTTTGTGACAAGAAAAAGGGCCATGGAATTCAACATAAGCAAAGAAAACTCTACCTGGCGGAAAGAAATCTACCAGTGAGGAAACAACTGGTGGCTGCTGCCAGACCACAGGCCACGTGAGGGGAGCCTCCCTAGAGGACTTCCAAAGCAAACCCACCCCCAGCAGACCAGGAAGAGCTTCCTACCTCCCAGAGAAACAGACCTCAGCCCTAATGATCACACAAATCCAAGTCAATCGCTCTTTTAAAAACGCATATACATAGTGTCCCCTCCCTTCCCTGGTCCTCTTGGCGACAGGGCAGTCACAGGACGTATGTGTTCTTCACCAGGTGCTCCTCGTCGTCTCCGGTGCTCCAGATGGTACGCAGGGCCCACTCCTGCTTCCTCCGTGCCACCCGGATCAGGTAGACCATGGAGGCTCCCAGAAAGAGGATCAGCACCATCACCAACAGCCCCGCCAGAACCACTACTGAGGACGAGAGAGGGCCTCAGGACCAGCCAGGCAAGGGGCAGGCAAGGGGAGCTGCAGCCAGGGTGGGGCTCACCAAGGGCCTGGGGAATCCAGGTGGGCTCAGGCTGAGGACCAAGTGTCCCTCCCCAACATGGAGGGTGTACAGAGCTGCAGCTGGAGAGGACACATCCTGCCAGAGAAGTCACCAAGGAGACTCCACCAAAAAGGAGGCGCCATGCTACGTGCACACTAACACAGTGGCTGTTTGTATTTCTTCTTTTTGGACTAAAAATCCAACTCTCAGGGCTGCAGAGGAGCCTCAGGCCAAGAGAGGCACAGGGTGTAAAAAATATTTACCTCCGGCGTGCACACACAAAACCTCAGGGACTCTGTGCACACACCCCTGACCAACAATAGAAAAAGATGTGCCTTGCAGGTGGCTGGGATACTGAGAGCTGCCTACAGAAAGAAGTCAGGGCAGAAGCCAGGCGTATTTAGAGCTGTGCCAGGAGGGGACCCTTGTCCTCCCACTGCCTGGCAAATTTAATAGTCTCTGCCCCACTGTGTCCTGCCTGTCACTTCAGATGCTTTTCCTTTTTTTTGAGACAGAGTTTCGCTCTTGTTACCCAGGCTGGAGTGCAATGGCTCGATCTCAGCTCACTGCAACCTCTGCCTCCTGGGTTCAGGCAATTCTCCTGCCTCAGCCTCCTGAGTAGCTGGGATTACAGGCACGTGCCACCATGCCCAGCTAGGTTTTTGTATTTTTAGTAGAGACGGGGGTCTCACCATGTTGACCAGGATGGTCTCGATCTCTTGACCTCGTGATCCACCCACCTCAGCCTCCCAAAGTGCTGGGATTACAGGCTTGAGCTACCGCGCCCAGCGAGCTCAGATGCTTTTCTTCAGGATGGGCTCTGGCTAAGAAGCATGACCCCCTGTGGCAGCCTCCCCCATGTGGCTGTGGAGCTGCAGAGTTGGCCCTTCTGGGGCCACCCTCCAGACCCAGACTGCTTGCTTCCCTGCCCCATGCCTGGAAACCAGGCTTCACTGCTAGAACAGGACAGACTCGCAGGCCAGGTCCTGGCTCCTTCACAGACAGGGAAGCAGATCGAGAAACAGGCCAGACCGGCGTGGCAGGTATTTTGTGCCCACATTATCACCTGCAACTCTCTCAGTAACACAGGCCAGACTGTGTTGGGAAATGCCCTGGCCCCTGGCCCTCCACCCTGTCACCTGTGACCAACTCTTATGCCCCATATAGTACAGCAGCGGAGGCTCCCTCCACACCTCAGGCCAGCCTCAGGTCCGTGTGCAGCAGTCCCCAGATGCCCAACAGGAAAACCTTATCCCCAGTCACCCAGGTGGCCTGAGCAGAGCCTGCCTCGTGACTCTTCAGCCCCAACCATGTACAACACTGATGTACACTGAACAGTGGGACAAGCCACCATCCAGCCATTCTCACACAGAAACATGACTTTCTGCAAAGATGATGTTCCCAATGAAGGACAGTGTAAACCACAACTGGGCAAGGCTGAGCTTGTCAAGGAAGGGAGGAAGCAGGCTGATGGCAGGAGGAGGGTGAGGGGCCACTTACCCTTTGTGCCAAGCAGCAGGGAAGAATCCACCTGCTTGCCTGGAAGAGAACGCACAGTGTGCAGTGAGCTCACAGCCCCCACCCCACAGAGCTGCCCCCAGGGGTCCCTCAGCCAAGGCCTCCACGGGGAGCTCTTTCTGAGGGACTTACTTCTACCTCTTGTCAGGCTTAGTTGCCACTGTGGAGGGCCCAAGGACAGCATTCCCAAGGCCTTCAGATTTTAGGGATGGGGAGATGGATGGGGGTTCTCAAGGATGGGGCTTCTCCGCCAACAGCAGCTTCCTGGGCTGAGGGACCCCAGACTCACGGAAGCAGCGGAGCATGCACGCCTCCTCAGAGAGGTAGCTGTTCTTATTGCCCCCGGCACCCTCCATAGATGAAGTTGTCGCAGGAGTTCCTCTCCACGTCAAAGTACCAGCGTGGGAAGGCCGCACGGCAAGGCCCAGTGACTGCCTTGGCAGTGCAGTATTCTGGTAGCAAGACAGCCCAAGGAATACAAATTAGCAGGGTATGCAAAGAAGGGAAGCAGGGCCGGGCGCAGTGGCTCAAGCCTGTAATCCCAGCACTTTGGAAGGCCGAGGCAGGTGGATCACGAGATCAAGAGATCGAGACCATCCTGGTCAACATGGTGAAACCCAGACTCTACTAAAAATACAAAAAATTAGCTGGGCATGGTGGCGCATGCCTGTAATCCCAGCCACTCAGGAGGCCGAGGCAGGAGAATTGCCTGAACCCAGGAGGTGGAGGTTGCGGTGAGCTGAGATCACGCCATTGCACTCCAGCCTGGGTAACGAGCGAAACTCCATCTCAAAAATAAAAAAGAAGGGAAGCAAGCTAGAACGTGATCGCGGGGGCTCCTGGCTCCAGCCAATGGAGAAACTTCTCTCTGGTAGAGAAGCCTGTAAATTACCGCCAAGGCCAGCCCAGCCACTCTGACATGCTGCTCCGAGGGCTACATGACGGCTTCAGAGCTGAGACTGCATTACTTTGAAGACTGCCCTCTACCAGGCCCTGTTCTAGGCCGTTTACATGCAGTGGCTGAGTCTCTATGAGACCCGTGAGGGACCCTTCATTTGATACATGGGAACTCTGAGGCAGGTCAACAGTCATGTGCCCACAGCCAAGCCGCTGCTGAGAGGTGCAGGGATAGTGCAGACTCCAAAGCCATGTACCAGGCTGCACCTCTAAAGCACATCTCCTTCCTGCTGCTGAGGCATCCATGTGGGGCCTATCACCTTGACCCCGATCGCAGGGGGCTGCCACCACCCAGGGAGGGGGAGCCCTGCTCTACAGCCTCCTCAGTGGAAATCCACAACTGTCTCTCAAGACCTAACTAACAATTCTCCTGCCTCAGCTTCCTGAGTAGGTGGGACTACAGGTTTGTGCCACCATGCCCGGCTCATTTTTTATATTTTGAGTAGAGACCGGGTTTCACCGTGTTAGCCAGGATGGTCTCAATCTCTTGACCTCATGATCAGCCCAGCCAGCCTCCCAAAAGGCTGGGATTACAGGCATGAGCCACCTCACATGGCCTCTTTGGAGTTTTACCTTCATAGTTGAACATATCGCTGGAGTGGTCATCAGAGTCCTGCCTTCTGGGAGCTGAAACACAAACGTGTGTGTCAGGGAGCCTGGGCCAGACACAGGACACGGGCCTAGTTGGGGCTGGGGCTGGAAGGGCCCACTGAGGAGAGTGGACACCACGCCTTTAAGGAGGGGTGTGGAGCCCCTTCCATGGGCAGCTCTGCTGTGTCACCCCAGCCATAATGAGCTCGCTCTACACACACACTGAGAGCAATAGATGAGGCAGCCCAGCAACCACCTCAGGGTTCCTATAGAAACCACGCCCGCGACAGCTCCTAATGGGATGAGGAATACAGTCTCGATCACACTTTCTAATACAGTGAGAGGAAAATGTTCCTCTCCAACAGAATGGAAACCAGAGCTGGCATGCAAGGGGCTAGCGGGGAACAAACAGGGAGCCAGGCAGAGCAATGCAGGGACAGGCATGGGACTCCTGGCCTAGCAAAGCTGGAAAGTGGCCACCCTAACACCCCAGCATTCTGCAAGCCAGCTGCCCAACAGCTGCTGAGCTACAGTGCACTCAGTGGGCAGTGGCTGCTGGGAGAGTCCCATCCTTCAGTGGGGGCGCGGTACAGTCCTCCCCTCCATGGCAGCCTCCCAAAGCCCATGGCCTGGGGACTGCCCTGAGAGTGCATTTGCTACCTGGCAGTGCATCGGGACCACTCACCCCAGGCGCCTGATGCAGTCTTTAAACCATAAAGGAGGAATGGCGCAGCGGCCGCCAGCACTACAAAGCAAGCTAACACACATCTTGAGATCATGCACTGCAGTGGCGGGGAGGCGGGGGTGGCAGAGGACAGAGGTCGCTCACAGGGAAAGGGACAGCGATGACAACAGAAAGCAAAGGAAGTAGAGGAGGCAGAACGGGCAGACGGGCAGACAGGCAGGGAGTGGAGCCAGCACAGCAGCTGAACTGCACAGCAAGGAGGGGCCTAAGCCTCACGAGCAGAAGCCACCTCCATCCCCTGTCTTCCAGGAGGAGGTAGGGGCCAGCCAGGAAGTGCTGCAGGATCCCCGGCACCTCTGTCAGCTGGATAGTGTAAACTCCCCCATGTAAGGATACTGGAGCCAGAAGCCAGCAGCCAGGCAGAGCCCCTGGTTTGCCAATTTTGAGTCAACAGAACCACAAGAGGGAAGCCTGTGACAGTTCCCAAATTGCAAGTGTCCTTTCACAATGACCCTCGGTGGCCTCACTCCATCTTGGTCTCTTTAAGAACCTACCACTTGGGACAGAGGAATCTGCTGCATTCCTGCTGATGGCCAGGTCACCCGTGGCATTCTCTGCAAGGGGACAAATAAACAGCACAGTGAGAAAGCACCTCCAAGACTGCCGGCGACAAAGAATGAGCTGGCCCTGTGTGCCTCTCACCACAGCCTCCATTTCTCCCTTGCAGGAAACTTCAACACGCATGCCAGACCACAACGAGCCCGTCACAACTTGGAAATAAGGAACTAAGATTACCTCCTTTAAGAGGTAACTTTAAGAGAAAACTTTAAGATTAACTTGCAAAGATGTTCAAAGTGATTTTAAAGGGACAGTGACTTGGCCAGGTATAGTGGCTCACACCTGCAATCCCAGCACTTTGGGAGGCTGAGGCAGATGGATCATCTGAGGTCAGGAATTTCAGAACGGCCTGGCCAACATGGCTCTATTAAAAATACAGAAGTTAGCCAGGCGTGGTGGCGCATGCCTGTAATCCCAGTTACTCAGGAGGCTGAGGCAGGAGAATCTCTTGAACCCAGGAGGCAGAGGTTGTGGTGAGCCGAGATGGATGGCATCACTGCACTCCAGCCTGGGTGACAAGAGTGAAACTCTGCCTCAAAAACAAAAAACAAAACAAACAGAAAAAACCCAGTGGACTTCCAGGGTCAAATAATCTGCTTAACCATATCAACTCATCTAACGAATTCAGCTGTAATCCTAGTGCTTTGGAAGGCTGAAGGGTCATGGGGGGGCCTCACTTGAGGCTGGGAGTTTGAGAACAGCTTGGGCAA